GGGGGCGGGGGGCGCCCGGTGGGGGGGGGGGGGGGGGGGGAGTAGAGAGAGCGGCGGCCGCTGGCACGGGGGCCGCTGTGAGGCGCTGAGGGAGGATATTTTATTCTATTTATTTTATTTTATTTTCCTCGCTCTATTTTTTTTCATGAGACCCAGGAAATATTGAACGCGAGGCTCCGTACGACAGGGCCTTGTCTCGGTGGAGTTTAGGTGGCTTTGCGATGGGTGAAGCCCCGTGGCAGAACTCATAGTCCGGCCTCTGCTTGCCCACCTTCCCATTTATCTTGTTTTTTCATCTCCCCATGAGGGTAGAACCTGCAAGGTGTTGTGGTAGGGGCAGAAAAAAAGGCAGAAGCCGTTTGGTGTGGGTGGTTTGTGCTGAATTAACACCTGGGGTTTGTGCTGTTTTACATTTACTATGCCTATTTTCCGTAAGATTTTCCAGCTCAAATTGTATCCTATTTGGATAAACTCCATTCTTATCTCTCTCATTCTTTGCAATTTATAAAACAATGGGCTGGATAAAAGACTTGTGTTATTTCTGTTTATCTTTCCTCATTGTGGAATTATGAGGAACAACAACAAAATTGCGTAGGGCGTTGCTAATTTCAGCACTACAGGTGAGGCCGTAAGATGCTGTCCTGCCATCTGTGCCTAGACTTGGGCTCTTTGACTTTACAGCCTCCTATGCCGTTTCAAAGACAACTGTTATTTTAGATTTAAGGTAGCTTCCAAGCTCTGCCAGTCTTTCTTCTGATCACTTGAAATTAATCATGCCAGAGAATAGTTATGCAAAATTCCCAATGTAAAACATGAGCTTTGATTTTTATTTTTTTTTAAAGTCTGTTTCTTGCTAGCTGTTTGAGCTTAATTACTAATTAATCTTAATGTGGAAAATAACTGCATATTCCTTCTGTTTCTTCCAATTAATGGGGTGTTTTTTGCTGCAAGTTTTGAAGTTAAATCAATACAAAAGTACCATAGAGTTATTTTTCCAGTGATCGCAGAAGCTAAAGAGGAAGTTAACTGAAGTGGTCTCAAAATGCATTGCAATCATCCCTAGGGTATTTTTTAATGAAAGTGAATATGATCAAGTTGCTGACTCCATATATTCTTTTTCTGCGTGTGGGGAACCTACTACACCTGCATGCAACTGTTACCATTCCATTCATTCATAAGTGAATTATGAAGGAGGTAATATATATGTAGAATTAAAAAGTATCTATTTAAATTCTGTTTCCATATACAAAGTTAAATTGCATACATAGACTCTCATTGCCAAGTAGTTTCTCAGATAAGTTGTTTTATCCAAACACTCTTAGGATGAGTAAAGATCTACCAGTATCAGTAAAAGACTGACAGTATGGCCCACAGCGCTAGTTTAACAATATGCTGTACCAATTGCATGTATTCTTTTAACATGATAAATATTATGGGCACAATGCTCATTGTTAAGATATGCAGCAAGCTTTAGACATGTACCATCATACTTTGCATAGTTTAAAAAAAAAAAAAAAGACCTGGTAGGGACTTTTTGAATCAATTCATAGATAGAAAACGTAGATAAGCAACTCTCATCTTTATTTTTCCTTCTTTTTGCTCCGATTTTCACCCTGGATTCTACTCCAGAGCCATAGTAAGGCTTGTCCAGCCATGTGAAAAACATGAACTAAACTGAATCTGGGGCTCTTCCTACTTTGCACTTTCTAAAACACTTCAGAAACTTTGCTCATCCTATAGATGCATGTGTAGGTTTTTCTCCATGTTATCCTTTGACAGATCTGAGAGAAAAGCCTTTGGCCAACTGGGTCTACCGGTTAGATGTCTGGGTGAGTTGTGTTCCATTCATCTCAGCCAGGGAGCAAGCATAGATGGAAAGAGCACAAATTTAACTTATTTTGAGTGAATGACTGGTCCGCAGAGATTTTCCTGCTCCCAGGAGGGGATAACTCGTAATAGCCCATGAGCAAACCAGACTGCTGGGTAGGATGGAATCTGACTCTTCCTCTCGGGAAAGTGGGGCTAAGTCAACTTCAGAAAGCCCAAAGTGCCCCCTCGACAGCTCCTTCCCGTGGCAAAGTGTTTGCCTGCAATGAGGCTGCCCCTGGCCCAAGTATTTGCAGTGGTTTTGCAGGCCAGCAGAGGGAAATCTGGGTTCTCTGCAGCTTCACTGGCAAACCAGGTATTTGACAGACTTTAAATAACATAATCTTGACCAGTCCACAACTTTTTCCCTAAGACTTTTTCTAAATGTTTATAATTTAGTTAGATTTTCAAGTAGTTTCTCATATATCTTCATCCTAAAGCTATGCTGAGTCCCAGATTCTGCTTTACTTTGGCTTCCAGCTTCTTTTGAGTTCCATCGTAAAAGCTTCCATCATTACATGCCTTAGTAAAACATGCAAATGCATTGGCCCCTAGAGCGCCCTTGCAGAGTAGGTGTATTAATAAATATAATGTTTCTCTGCTGCCACTGAGGTGGAAGATGTAATGGAGTCTGCATTCCTTAAGCAATATGGGTTGCTATTTAAAAAAAGAAATACATTGTAAAGAATTCCATCAAACTGTTACAACTTTAACTGCCCTTTGGCAAGAAATTCAGTCACTTTTTTATATAGGAAAATTATATGTTACCTGTTTACTTGGCTTTTTGTAGATGGAATATTTCTTATCCCCCTTTTAAAAATAGAAAATTCCATCCCCCTTTTAAAGAAGATAATTGTAAAAACATTTTTCCTTAACACCATTTCCTGTATTATATTTCAAAGATGTACTTTCATTCCACTTTTTTCAAATACTTTATTTTGCACTTTGGAATAGTAAAATAAATTAAAAGAGGATATGTTTGGAATGAGCTCAGATTAATTATTGTGGGACAAAACATTCTTTTCTGAGACGAAAACTGAACTGAGTTCTAGAAATATGATGTGTTATACGTGTTTAATGGAGACTGTCGTTATAAAGACTTTTGTTCCTTGTTTTATAAAATACTTTAAACTGTTGGTAAGATTTAAGAATGTGCTTAAAAAGTTTCCGTTGTCTCTGGGAAAAATAGTCTTAATTTATGTTGACCTTTCTTTCCTTTGAGTATTTAGTCTGCATTCAATAAAATTTTGATGACTGCTCTTTAGAAGACAGCTGTACGATATAAAGTATTATAAATATTCAGCTTTCCTCTCCTAGCGTTGCCATTAACAGCTGGGCATCCAGTTCAGCAGAGCAGATTTTGCAGAGAGAGCTTGGCATGTTCCTGAATCAGTATAGTGAAGAAGACTAGAAACTATTTTCTAATGGTTTGGGGACCTGTAAAGACATAGAGCATCTGTTCCCCAGTTAAGTCATAGCCTAGTAGCACTGAATCATGTTAAGAGCTAAAATGATGGGAAGAACTACTTTTTTCACCTTGGCTGTAGCTGTGTTTTAAATGCCTAATACATTATTTCTGCTAATAGCAGAATAATTTCAACACTTGCTCAGAAGGTACGTAAAAGATAATGATCTTGTTTTTCTTTATTTTTCTTTATCTCTAGTCTTTGAGAAAGAGACAAATATATGTTTTAATAGACTCCTGTGCAATTTCCCTTCAGTGTCTTCATTTTATTTGTGGTATAAAGAATTGGATTTTCTTATGCAAACACTTTACCCTTCTAAATAAGCAATGTTTTTATTATGTAGTATTTTAACTAGTTCTATATTTGCTTTAGGTGACATTAGTTTTCTTACATGCATTACATTTTTTTATGCTATATATGAGAAGGATAAATGACTTTGAAATTACTGATTATAGACCTTATTACCAGAAATCTTTGTGCCTAGATGTTCATAAAACTTGTCCATATCTTTCTCTTGTAGAGTTAAGAGAGCACTAAAGTTGGACACTGTTAAAAAAGATAATGTGAGTATCTTGTGTATGGAATCATCTGGGGAAGGTGTATATATGTGTATATATATTTAGAGAAAGAGAGAAGATGATATTTCATTAGAACTGTGTTTATAGTGTCACAGATTGGATGTTGTCTAGGCACAAAATTATCGCTGAAAATCTTAGAATAAAATTTATTGTCTTCCGTTTGTCATAGAATTGCCTGGCTTTAAATAATGTATGTTTGCGTGAGAGGGTTGAAAATAACGGGAGAAATATGCATGTTTTTATTATCTTCACTATTTACCCAAGAGCTGAATGAGTTAGGATCTGTCGTGAAATCATTTATTAGAAATTAGCTCTATTATACTGAAAGCAAATGTTCTGCCATGTAATTGTACATGTAACAATATGGAATTATGATAATGCTGTAATCTGCATATTATAAACTCCAAAATTGAAATGAAAACATTAAAGGCATTTTCATGACAAGGATATAATTACCTCCCTCAGCTAGGCTGACATAATGGAACAATAAAATGCTAACACTGCAATGAATTTCACCACAGTTATCACAATAAAAATAAAATTGTACTGTTGCTATTATTTTTTGTAAATGCAGCTATAGTATGTTCCCAGTACCCGCATGTCGTGACATATGTCAGTTTATTATCCACTCCTATCGCCAGTGGGTGTTGCTGCAAACACCGAGAGAGAGAAGCTTGTAGTGTTTAAGGGAAGGAAAATTTTGGAAAAGAATATAAAGAGAAACAGCTAATCAGTAAATGAGTTTCCAATAAATCTCCACATCTATGTCATTTCAGAGAGATTTGTTTATATGCAGTACCTATTTGGAGGTCTCACTGGGTATTTAGCAAATGAGAAATTTGCAACTTAAAATATTTGCTACTTTTTTTTTTTATTTAAACAAAGGTGGCAAAATACCGCAGTGGCACTAAAAAAAATCATTAACAATTTAATTAGCAGCTTAGTGTACTATTACCCAACTTGTTCTGCTCAGAATGCAGCTGTGACTGTAATTTTGCATCTGTTTCTCAGGTTCTAGTAATATTTTTGTAGATGAGTGGTCCAGCTGAAATTAAACCCATTTTTTTTTCTGTCTTAAAGCTATTTCTCTCTCTCCTTCCCTTCCTGTCTTCTCCCCCAGCAAATACTCTGAAATTTTGGCGAGGCAAAGAGCAAGGCTGTAACACAACCAATCATTCACATAGATAACAAGAATATGCATATTTATGTGGAAATAGGGGGAAAAATGGAGTATTGTGCTTCAGGACATTTAAATCAACTGCTAATTGTCTGAAATTAAGAAGAAAACTTCTGAGTTACATAATAGTCCATTATACATGTTAGTACAACTCATATTCCTAGTTTTATATTTACTGCCTCTGTAATGTATACTTTTAGTAACATTTTTTTATTATAATACCTCCTCAGTTTAATTATATAAAATTAATATTTTCTGTCAGTAATTTGTGCAATAATGAAATGTAATTTCTAGGACTTGGGTCCTAGAAATCCTAGGTAGGCTTGAAGAAAAAGTTTAGGTTCCTTTTATTTGGTTTAAAGAGGAAGGAGTAGTATGAGGCTCTTCCTCGAGCAAAACAGGACAACACGTGAGTATGAAAGGAGAATGCATGAGCAATTTGACATTGCAGAGAAAATGGCCATAAACAAAACACAAATAACAGTTTAATTTTTTCAGCTTGGCTTTGACGTGGTTTCTTTGAAGAATGTCAGAATGATCTTTGTGAGGATCTGGATTTTATATTTTACTCATGATATTGAAATGGTATAACCTACTACATTTTTTTTCTGACAGGATATGAACTTAAAGAGATTACAGATTCATCATGTTTAATAAAGCTTCCAGTAAATAAATACTATATGGAACTCAGTGACAATTGATATGAAGAAGGCAAGTGGTACATAAACAGTTCTGTAGAGATCTGAGAGAAAACTCTGCTTTAGGGAGACCAGTCTTATTTGGAAGCCACAGGTTATTTGCCTGGTGATTAATCTTGAAATGAAAAAGTTGGGCAGAGGGGAATGTTGCCACTCGTCAAGTTGTTTTCCAGCTTGTTATCAGTTGAATCTTTCTGCCCATTTGTTTAATTTTTAGATCACCTGGTAACGCTGTTTCTATCAGTGTAGGTCTGGTAGTGTGTGTATTGCTTAATACTTAAAGTTGATTTACATGTAAAATTGCCTGGTTGCTAGATCAGTAGTTTCTGAGAGTGTAAGATGCTGCTGACCCCACTGGAGTCACCTCTGAGTGCTGCATGTGTTTGGTTTTTCTGTGCGTTGCCTTTTTCATACAGTCATTAATGATGTTACTCAAAGCTTCTAGACTTTTCTGTATGGAAGCGAGTTGTTGCTCTTGATGTGCAAATAAATGTTTTTCTGAGTGTAACGGAATTACAGTTTCTCAGAGTTGCAATGCAGCATCCAATCTATGGAGTAAACTGTGCTCCAGAGAATCCCCGTTAATATTTCACAAATACAGACTTGTTTTCTTCTGAAATAACTTATCTGCACAATCCTTTTATACCACTAGATACACTGAAAACCTAAAACAGAGAGGGGACAAGTGGTGTTTTTAATGGACTCTTTGTGAGAGAGACTAATTAACCCTTGTTTAGAAAATCATTCTAATAAGTATTATTAGTTGTATTAATTATAAGTATCATATGATAGAATTAAAATCTAAAGATGCTTGTAGGTGATGATGTTTCAGGAGTCATGTTTCAACACTGTGGGAAAAATAAAGCCAGCTGCATTAAAAATTTTTTTTTAGACTGCTTTTCCAGAAAGTGTTTATGTCAGAATACTGGAAGCTACTTTTAAAAATGTATTTATTTATTTATTGACCTGGGAGGCTAGAGATTGAATAGCTTAATTTTTGTGTAAAACTAATTTTGTGCTTGTACATACATTTAATAAATGGAAGTGCATAAAGTTAGGAATTATGTGGACAAACTGTTACCAAATATTATTAAAAGAAGCTTTGACTAGTTTGGTTTCAACATATAACCCTTCTTTTAGGAAGGGTGAAAATCAGAACCTATTCATTTGCAAAAGGAGAATTTGTAACCATTGTAGGCTCAAAGGGATTTGGATGGTCAGTTTTCTTTAGCCGATATTAACCTAGATTCTTTTACTGCATTTTAGCTATCTGAAGCAACACCCTTGAAGACCAAAAAGAAAGATCTGAATTTCTACTCACCAACAACAGGAACATGCCAAATGAGTCCATTTTCATCTCCCATAAGTCATAATGTACAAAATCTCAGAAATGGTCTATCAAATGGTTAGTTGAACATTCTGGTTTTCTTACAGCAACACTTTTCTGGTTATTGGCTTGGTTTAGTAATTTATGTCTCATGTGGTGTGTTTGATTTCTTGTTCCTCTTAAAGAATTTAGATCTTTTGTGGTAAAGCTGAGGTTGATCTTTAGATCGCCTGTCTTTTCCATGTGTTTTTTGGAGGGGGTGGATTAATGATCACTGTGAAACAAGTTTTGCCTTTTGTTGATCCATATCAAAGTATGTTCAACTTCGGCTGAGGAACACAAACAGAAAATCCAGACTGGCATTTTTGCCAATAATTGTATCCATGCCTTAGACGTTTGGCAGCTTTATGCTAACAATGTTCTACCTTTCATTTACAGAACTGGTATGTCCTACTGACAGTGAGCTTGCTGTTTTTTTTTGTGTTTTGTGTGTGTGTTTTCTTATAAATGGAGAACTTTCCAGTTCTTTTTAGGACATGTGTCCATTCAGTTAAACAATCATGATTTTGATATAAACAAACTGTGAATTTTTCAGAAGTATTTCTTCAGTAAATCATACTTGCTTTTATACATGCATAGGTTATGTTTTAAGGGTTAGGGGACCACTAGATCATCTGCTGTGGCTTTATTAAATAAAAAGAAAAAACAAATTTTCTGAGCCCAGTAGCTTTTGTTTTCTAGAAAATGGTTAAATTTTGATTTGAAGGCTTTGAATGATTAAAAAAAATCCATCACTTCCCTTGTTAGTGATTTTTTGTTGAATTGCCTTTACTATTTAAAATATATATATATATATGTATATATTTCTCCTGTCTTACTTGAATTTGTCTGTCTTTAATTTTCAGCCATCAGTTCTTATTATGCCTTTTTGTTAGGTTAGAGAGCTTTTTATGCCCCATATATTTTGGAATTTATGTGCAGTAATTGAGTTTCACTAACATTCATGAATTATGATGAGTAGAAATATTCTGAGCAGGATAGAATAACCACTGTTTGAAATTTGTCTAGATATCTGGAAATTTTTGCATTATATGTTGTACAGTGTGCTCCCATAATGGACCTGCAAAAATGGGTAGTCGGGGGGCAGATTTTTGTGTGCATGTGTGGGTTTTTTTTTTTTCTTCATAAAATTAGTAATTTTTTAAAAGAAATGCAAATGAGATTTTTTTTTAAATGAATGTACTCAAGAAATGTTGGGATCTGTCAAAAGTGGTAAAACTAAAAATGAAAATAACTTGAAGATTGCAAGTTAAAAATACTACAATCTGAGAGCATCTTAATAATTTCCTTATTAAAAATAGCAAAATATTGGGACAAGCGTTGAAGTGTCACGAGTTTGTTGCTATTATAGCTATGTTTTTTTTTTCCTGTTAGTAGTCATGTTAGTAAATCATACTAAGCAGGAAAAGAAATGTTTTACTTTTTACTGTACTGCCATTTTTCCTTTTGATCTGTCTTTGTGTGTTCTTGTTTGTTGAGTACTTCTAACTGGATAGTTATGTGCTCCTTAGAGTTCAAGTCAAGTTAGTTAGCAGTCTAGCCCCACTTTTTCAGACTCTTCTGGCTGTGGAAAGCCACTCTCCTAGTGACCAGTGTGGTGACTTAGTTTTAGGGAACTTTCAGTTTTGACATGTAAATTTACATCTGCTTTATCTTTCTGCAAAGAAAAAGATATTTCTGAAGTATTTCCAGGTCAGATGTCTAGGACAGTCTCTTTATAAGTAATGAGATTTTGTTTTTCCAGTCTCAAGATAGGGCTGTTGTTAGCCCAGTCAGTTAATATTCCCATACAGGCACCAGTCATGTCACAGGTCACTTCTCCCTAATTTGGTTTATTATTTTGTCAAGATGGGACATGACAAAATGTCGTGTAATCTGACTATATTTCCATGTTGAAATTATGGACGTAAGGGAGTGTTCTTTTTGCTTATAAAAAGACAGATCACGTGTTCATAGCTGACATTTAGATGGATAATTATGTGGTAATATAGCTGTAGCCATGTGTCTTCCTCTCTTCATATAGCTAGAAGATGGTGGCATGGACTTTCTGTCATATCACAAATTTCAAGCTGTTCTTTAAACCCACCATTTCACTTCTCCTTCTGAAAAAACACTGAAAACAGAACAAGACTTTATTGCAAAATGAACACCATTAACTATAAAGACTTATTTTACAGTGTGTGAATTACACAAAGTTGCATGTGTAAATGTGCCCTCTTTGAGGAGACAGATGGAAGTTACTTGTCTTATGAACATGACTTGCTTTTGAGTAATGGTGTGCAGAACTGCTTCACAGAAGACTAGTTGGATAATGCTAAGATTGTTCAAAAATAGACACTTATTTTACAGGAAAACATGAACCACCCTTATTGTAAGACAGTTTGCCTTTATGGTGTTGCACTATTCTGTTGAGCTGCCTGATAATTTGTATATTCATTGGAAAAGTACCTACAATCCATTTATTTCATAATTTTTTAAAATAACAGACTATTAAATCTTCACTAGTTCCTCACCATTGTTGGCCGGTATATTTTTGAGATTTATTTTAAATGAATTTACTTATATCCAAAGCAATCTAGGATTCTGCCCTTCCATAGTACTGGTCTAGCAGCAATTTCAGTTAGATAATTGATGGCTGATTTAAATGCAAGTTCTAGAGTACTTAGATTTAAAATGAAATCTTTTGGGGTCTTAACCTTTAGCTACTGTAGTGGAACAGCTTAAACTTTTATAGCACCTTGTCATTCTGAGGAATTTCTAAACGTTTTACAAAATATTAAAATTAAAACTTAATCCATCCTTGAGTGCTGATACTTATACGTAATAGTTTAAATCTAGCAAGAAGAATTCAGTGCTTAATGCTTAGTGTAGTCTCCCTTTTTCAGTCTTGTGTTAAAAGGAGGTACATTACAGTGAAGGGTGGAAGGCACCTCACTGCAGAGTCTGTTCTAAATTGATGCTTTATTAAGCCCCCAACTAAGACCTGTTGTAGTTCCCTCCAAGTCTTTCCCATCAGGCTGCATTTCAGTTTACAACTGGCCCAACTTGAAGCATTTGTAAGAAAATACCTGTATCGTTTGGAGGGACATTGGGGATTAACTAATTGAATATGCCTCTTGGAGAACTTTTGGGGGACCAGAAAAAAGATCTTTTTTTGGACAAATGAGTATAGTCTTGATTGGTTATAGGTACTAGCAGCTCCAAAGCTGACTCACCTGTGTGCAATTCTAAGTCTCTAATTGTTGAAACACTAATGACCTCGTTGTTAAAGGGAAAGAAAAACAAATGAGTGTATGAATTTTGCTCTGCCCTTTTCATATGTATACATACACCATCACCATCTTAGTAAGTATCCAATCTGAAAGTATTCAATCTGTTGTACAAGAGGGTAGAACTGTATCAAAAGAGGGGAACTCTTACATTGGAATAGAAAATGAGAGACTAGATTAGAGTGAATGTGTGACTGAAAATGTTCTACATTACATGAAGTCTTCAAGCTTCAGGCTCGGCCATTTCTTCTCTTCAAATGTGACCTTTCTAGCTGGAGCTGAGACAAGCGTAACGCCTAAAGTGTTGGAAGGTGACCATACAGACTGTGTGAAGCAGGACACCCTCAATAGCTGGAGCTACGCTAGTTCCAGCAGATTCTTCAAAGACTTCTGGACTGTGGGATCCTATCAAGTTTTCATTAATCACTCTGTACAACCTGTAATTATCTGAGAATTAAATTTATTGTTGTGGTATTACTGCTCTGAATAATTCTGCGAGATCTGCGTCTTAAAATATTTTTCGTGAAATCTGACAAAAATAGCATAGGCTGTATTTTAAATATCTAAGTAGGGGCTAGAAGGGATGCTTTTTTTCCCGCTGTTATGCGTAGCCCCCTTGAATCGCTAATTGGAGGACAAGCAGAACTCATAATGTAAAGTGCTGATTTTAAAAATAGCAGTAACTGATACACTGGATAAACTTTTAATCTGTTTTGTTCAAATATGATTTTTGTATGAATTGTTTTGGCAGGAATAAGTTGTGTAAACGGAAAATTAGAGCGGGACTAGTTTTTTTTGTATAATCAGATGTTTACTGTCCATACTCTGCATTATACATACGAGGTCTCTGTAACTGGCTTTTGAATCACCTGAGTAGATGGCAGTCAATGAGCCAGAGACTTTATTTAGTGCTGCACTAACTTTTTTAATCTTGTCAGCTTCACTGAAAATCTCCCCTACGCTCTGTTTTGGGAAAGCAATATTTCCTAGATGCTTATATTGGAATTTGGTCATTTAAAAAAGCTGAGCCTAAAATGACAAAAAGCATGCAGGTTTCTTATCAGCAGGGAGTTTATTTACCATATTCCACTTGTGAGCTCAGATTTTATTAATTAAATCCATAGGATTAGATTTTTGTGCTAATACCCTACTCTTGTTTCCTCATAGAAACATGTAGCTGCTCAAAATATTGCTGCACTGAAATATAGAAATGCAACTTGGCATGCAGAATAATGGCAACTGGCATATGATTTATCATGCCCCATCCTATGACAAGCACTCAGCTAGAATATTGTATTGTCAATATAGCATGTCAGAGCTGGGGAAGTAATTTACACCGTCTCCTTGTAGTTGCTTACAAGATGGAATTGGGGCACAGGCACATTTTATTAAAAGAAAATGGAGGTTTCGTTGCTCTGACATTACAGTATCATAGATCTGTGCAAATATTTTGTATTTAGGAAGCTAATAGAATTAAAGGCTTCTGCCTAGTATGCAGAAGCAGTGTGTCAGAGCTATGCTAACTTCAATTATTAATACTATAATCCCAAAGTTACCACAAAAATAAGTATCTTTTAAACTGATGAGAGGTCAAATTACAAAAGGGTACAT